TGTGTGTGTGTGTGTGTGTGTGTGTGTGTGTGTGTGTGTGTGTGTGTGCGTGTGTGTGTGTGTGTGCACATGTGTGTGTGTGTGTGCACATGTGTGTGTGTGTGGTCGTTTGTGTCTTAAACTGTATGCTAATTTTGTCAATTTTGTCAAAGGTCCGGGTCCCCTTTTCCCGTTTCGTGGGAAGGTACAGGGAGTCGTAGGTTGCTCTCATAGGTCTGCTCCGAGAGTAGAAGAACCGGCCAGGAAACTAGTTTGGGGTTTTTAGCGTCGTGTTTTTGACTGGGTTGCTGATTCAGATTGGCACGTTGTGACAGCTGTGGAGTTACTGCTGCCACGACAGCCATGGCCATGGAAATTACAAAGGTGGCGAGGAGGAAGAAGAAGACCCCAAAGTGTTTGTTGTTGTTCGGGGTTGTCGTAAAAGCGGTTGTGATTCTTCCAAAAAGTACTCCGGATTGATTGGAGGAGGACGGAGGATTGGAGAAGTGAAATTTGTTTTTATATTCTCTGTGTATTTTTAGCTTCCGCTGTGCACATCTTCTCTCCGGTTGTGTGTGTGTGTGTGTATGTGTGTGTGTGTGTGTGTGTGTGTCTGTGTGTGTGTCCCTACGCTGTATGTGTGTGAGAGTGTGTGGGTGTGAACGTATTTGCGTGCTGAGATTCGATCCAAGACCCCACACCTGACTGTGCGCTTTACCCCTTCATTGAGCATGCCGAGATTTGAACTTGCACCCTTACAAGGGATTGTTCTACAGAGATTATACGGTTTGTGCCTGAAACCGAAGTACATTCATGAATTCCCAACTAGAGTAATCGACATTAAGGTGATAAAACTGCAACCTAACCATTCAAAATCGTCAAGCATCCAACGTAAGTAGGTAGAGAGGACATGCAAGAGTTCACACTAAGTGTAGATTAGATAAAGCACGAAACTAAAACATTCTAACTACTCATATGGATGAGGTGTTGTTGGATGTGACATCACACGACAATTTTGCACCATTTTCACACCTCGAACCACACATAAGGTGACGAGATCTCGAACCACATCGTTCACAATAGATACCATTGTAGGTCTCTCTCTCTCTCTCTCCCTCTCTCTCTCTCTCTCTCTCTCTCTCTCTCTCTCTC